TCTCCGTAAGATCGTATTACAATGAAGACAGTCGTTGATGAGCTCCGGTCCCGCCGAGCGGATGGTGAGACAGACCTCCACATCATGGATTTTCGCTTAATCCGGAGAACCCCGAGAACTCGGTGGAGGCCAATTCTCTTCAAATCAGGACCGTAGAGTACGAGAACGGACTGCGTGTAATTTTTGCCAATGTACCCAGTCTGAGAAATAAACTTGATGAGGTACAGATGCTTGCGTCAGATACTCGCCCAGACTTGATGGCCTTTACCGAAACGGCTTTTTGCAGACATCATAGATTCAGAGGTTTCTATTCCCGGATACAGTCTCTGTCGAGCCGACCACCTTGGAGATAGGCACGGTGGCGGCGTCATGCTTTACTGGAAGGCCGAACTCAAGGTCCATTTGGTTGCAGCTACTAGTGGCGACGATGGTGATTTTGATGCCCTTTGGTGCCGTATTCATGATGGTTGCAGATCCTACACTATTGGTGTTGTCTACAGAGCGCCATCGGGATCCGGAGTTCATTTGCTCGATTCGATCAAAAAACACGGCGCGGGAAAGGACAATCTTATCGTGGGGGATTTCAATGCCCCTAATATCGATTGGGACTTACTTCTTTATGGTTGTCCACCTGATTCTTTTGATGCTACCTTACTTGGGATTGTTATCGATTGTAATTTGTTTCAACACGTCACCATGGCAACCCGCCTTGTTGCCGACCAAACGCCAAACATTCTGGACTCTTGTGCTCACCCCAGCTCAGTCAGATGTCACGAATCTAACAGTTCTTCAACCCATCGGCAAAAGTGATCATTGTGTCTTTTCATTCCAATGGACACGTCGCCTCACGATCCATAGCCAAGGTGGTTGTCGTCGGAACTTTTGGCATGCGGATGCCCTCCGTCTGAGAACAGCCGCAAGCTCTATGGACTGGAGTATTCCTGATCCCATTCCTCTTGATGATGCGTGAAACCTTTGCTCTCTAAAATGCCTTCTCTAATTGAGCAGTTCGTTCCTTTCTCCCGTAGCCAGTCTTGAGCCCTCATTCTACTCCAACGAAGTTTCAAACTTCCACTGCATTGGACTTTTTTGTTTCATCACATTTTTCGTCTACACATAATTCCGGCTGAGCTACCCCCACGGGTAAACGAAGCTGTGTCCCATCTCGTTCCCGATCAGAACCTTTGACATACCTTGCCCAGTGAGCCCACGACTGAGACATACGCTGTTGTGGTGCGGTAAACTCCCACTGTCCCAATGGGTCAGGCAAAGTCTAAGTCCAAACCCAAGAAAACTGCTTCCCAGACCCAAAAGAAATCTGTTCTCGACAAAGTCAATGAGCTGGGAAAGTTGATCAAGGACAGTGCGTCACCACATCCTCAGATCTCTGGCCGCGCTCTACCACCCTCTCGTGAAAGATGTCTTATCATTGTGAACGCCCCAGAATCCACCAAGCACACCTCTGCAGAAAGGATGTTGGATGACAAAGGGTTCCTTGAGCGAATGATTTCCATTTTATTCGATGAAGGTGAATTAAGTATAAACATTATCTCTGCCTTCCGCTTGGGCAGGAAGCAAGAGGATCCTTCCAAGGTCCGCCCCCTCAAGATCGTATGCCAAAGCGAAGAGGAATGCCGACGCATCCTCTGGCGAACCCCACGTTTGGAAGGTGAACTTTTTTACGTCCTGAGAGATCTTTCTCCGTAAGATCGTATTACAATGAAGACAGTCGTTGATGAGCTCCGGTCCCGCCGAGCGGATGGTGAGACAGACCTCCACATCATGGATTTTCGCTTAATCCGGAGAACCCCGAGAACTCGGTGGAGGCCAATTCTCTTCAAATCAGGACCGTAGAGTACGAGAACGGACTGCGTGTAATTTTTGCCAATGTACCCAGTCTGAGAAATAAACTTGATGAGGTACAGATGCTTGCGTCAGATACTCGCCCAGACTTGATGGCCTTTACCGAAACGGCTTTTTGCAGACATCATAGATTCAGAGATTTCTATCCCTGGATACAGTCTCTGTCGAGCCGACCACCTTGGAGATAGGCACGGTGGCGGCGTCATGCTTTACTGGAAGGCCGAACTCAAGGTCCATTTGGTTGCAGCTACTAATGACGACGATGGTGAATTTGATGCCCTTTGGTGCCGTATTCATGATGGGTGCAGATCCTTCACTATTGGTGTTGTCTACAGAGCGCCATCGGGATCCGGAGTTCATTTGCTCGATTCGATCAAAAAACACGGCGCGGGAAAGGACAATCTTATCGTGGGGGATTTCAATGCCCCTAATATCGATTGGGCCTTACCTCTTTGTGGTTTTGCACCTGATTCCTTTGATGCTACCTTACTTGGGATTGTTATCGATTGTAATTTGTTTCAGCACGTCATCATGCCAACCCGCCTTGTTGCCGACCAAACGCCGAACATTCTGGGCCTTGTGCTCACCCCAGCTCAGTCAGATGTCACGAATCTAACGGTTCTTCAACCCATCGGTAAAAGCGATTAGTGTGTCGTTTTATTCCAATGGACACGTCGCCTCACGATCCATAGCCAAGGTGCTTGTCGTCGGAACTTTTGGCATGCGGATCCCCTCCGTCTGAGAACAGCCGCAAGCTCTATTAAAACGGACCTTCCACGTCTGGTCGGAGGAAGGTAAAATTAGCTGTCAGGCTATACGTCTCCATGGTGCGCCCACTTTTAGAGTACGGGGCACCGGCCTATTATCCAAGTACAAAAGGTGAGATGAGAAAACTGGAAAAAGTCCAGCACCTAGTCACCCGCCTGATCCCCACGCTCCGAGGCTTATCTTACCATCAGAGGTGCCACAAGTTACGTCTCCATACACTAGTATACAGGAGATTACGAATTGACCTCATTACAACGTTTAGAATCCTTCACTTGCGACATTTTCCTCACCTGAGACATATGTTCTGTGTTGTGGATGCACCTATTACCCGAGGGCATTCTTACAAGCTGGAAGTTCCACGTATGGACAATGTCACTCATATTCACTGTTTCGCGCGACGTGTGATACATTTCTGGAACTGGTTACCCAGTTCCGTTGTTCTTTCTGATTCAGTGCAGTGTTTCAAACGAAGCATTGACAAACATTTTTCAGACTTGTGTTTCGATGCAGACGCCATGTTTGACCTCCTTTCGTCGCATGGTTATGTCACGGCTACACTAGCAACCATAAAAGACCAAGACCCATAGTGCTTTCTTTGCGCTTATATATCGGTATTTTGTTTGCTTATTACTAAATGACTATTGATGTGCATTCACACAGACCCATATTCGGCATGGGTCATTTTTGCTTTACTTATGATGGAGATCACATAGATTCCTATCTTATTCTCCTAATAAATTGATTCTGATTCTGATTATGGACTGGAGTATTCCTGATCCCATTCCTCTTGATGATGCGTGGAAACTTGTGCTCTCCAAAATGACTTCTCTAATTGAGCAGGTCGTTCCTTTCTCCCGTAGAAAGTCCTTCAAGAGGGGTCCACCTTGGATTGACAGTGAATTGAGATCTCTGATGAACAGAAGACGCACATTGTGGGATCGTTTCAGGCAATCTCAAACAGAGTTCGATTACTCTTCCTACAAGACTACCAGAAATGCTTGTGTCACGTTGAAGCGGCAGAAACGTCAGCAATATGAACTATCATTAGCAGCACATTCCAGAACGACACCCAAAATGCTTTTCTCTTATCTAAAAAGAAGCACCAGGGCTGGCAGTGGCATCCCCACCTTGTGTTCCTTTGAACATCGAAATTTACTTTACGAAGACGCTGATAAAGCCAGTCTTTTGGCCCAGCAGTACGCCTCTGTCTTCGCGAAAGAAACTCCCGCCTGCGACAACACTGTGTCCAGTTTTCCTTATTAATTGGATCAAGTAGACATTAACATCAATTCTGTGGTTAAACTTCTCCTTGCTTTAGATCCGCATTCTTCACCCGGCCCAGATGGCTTGCACCCCCTGTTCCTTAGGACTGTGGCGCAGTACATCGCCCCTCCTATCTGTCAGGTTTTCCGTCTTTCCTTTGAAGCTGGGCGTCTCCCGTCGGCTTGGAAAGTGGGCATTGTAAAACCCATATACAAAGGAGGGAACAGGCAATATCCAGCCAACTATCGTCCTATCTGCTTAACGTCGATATTGTGTTAAGTTATGGAGCGGATCTTGAAGCAGGCTCTTCATCTCTACCTCGAGGAACTGAATCTTTTCTCTTGTGCACAGCATGGTTTTCGAAGGGCACGCTCATGTACCTCGAACTTACTAGTTGCTAAGGAGAAATGGGCGAAATCGCTAGATTCTGGCAAACGCTTGGACGTTGTGTTTGTGGATTTCAGCAAAGCTTTCGACAGGGTCCCGCACGAACGACTTTTGCTTAAACTCCGAGGAATCGGTATTGCCGGGAATCTTCTCTCTTGGATCTCTGATTTTCTTCGCGACCGCACGATGCAGGTGCAAGTAAACGAAACATTTTCCGCCCCTGTTCTCATGACTAGTGGAGTCCCACAAGGTTCTGTCCTCGGCCCCGTGCTTTTCAACCTCTTCATCAATGACTTACCGTCCACACTCCAGGCGGATTGCCTAATCTACGCCGACGACTTGAAGCTGTGGATGGAGGTATCCAGTATGGAAGATGCTGACAGGTTGCAAGCGACACTCGACCTGCCATGTGCTTGGTCAATTAAGTGGCAGTTGCCAATGAATCATGAGAAGTGTTCAGTTCTTCCAGTTGGTGCGTCTGCCCCATTTGGAATCTACCATATTGGTGGTTCCTTGCTCAGAAACGCCACTCAGGAGAGGGATTTGGGAGTGATACTTTCGTCTGACCTCAAATCTAATGAAGATACCAAGAAAAAGGTCGCTGCGGCCTACAGGATGTTTCACTCTATACGCAGGGCCTTCTCTCGCCTGACCCCGGGGATCTTCCGACTCCTGTTTACTTCACATGTACGCCTGCTTCTGGAATACGGGCTACCTGCCGCCTACCCTCTTACGAAATTTGAATGTGATATGATTGAAAAGGTTCAACGGCGTGGATCCAAATCTGTTCCTGAGCTGCGGGACCTGTCCTATTCTCTCCGACTCAAACAACTGAACCTCTTTTCCCTGGATTACCGTCGTCATCGCGGAGACTTGATCTTCACCCGACGTATTCTTAGAGGAGAGTTGGGGAGGGAATTACAGGAATTCTTTCATCTCAACACAGAGACTTCAACAAGAGGCCACAGTTTGAAACTGTTCAAACCGAGGAGTGATCGAGTGCGATCCAGCCTGGCTTTATCCACTCGCGTTGTGAATGACTGGAACCGCCTTCCGGAGTCCATCGTCGTTGCCGAGACCGAGGAACGTTTCAAGCATTTATTGGATTCTCATTTTAGTTTACGGGGATCCAGCTGTTTCCAATGCAGCTTCAGTGGTTCTCTGTGGGACCTTGTTCCGCAATGACCCAGGCTATCTCCGAAACGATTGGGAAGTGACGGAGCTGACAAAGGAATTTCCTTCTGCTCTCTATCATCCAATGATCCAACAGTGACCCTGATGTACCCGGGTTCCGCGGCCTGATTTAATTCACCCGAAACTGTTGCATGAGTTGGCTGCGGAACTAAGTGAACCGCTCGCTATGGTGTTTCAGAAATCGCTTGACAGCTGTGCATTACCTCCCACATGGAAGGAAGCTGTCATCTGTCCCATCTTCAAAAATGGGGACAGGAGTCTGCTTACAAATTACAGGCCAGTTAGTCTGACGAGTGTAGTAGTCAAACTCCTCGAGAAACTGGTGAGAGATTCATTGGAAAGTCATCTGAGTAGATTTCATCTACTTAGCAATGTACAACACGGATTCCGGAATTGATTTTCGTGTCTGACGAATCTACTGGTGGCCCGCGAAACTCGGGCGGATGCAGTGGATAACGGCCACGCGCTGGACGTGCTTTTCGTCGACTTTTCTAAGGCATTTGACAAGGTACTCCATTTGAGGCTAGCGCAAAAGCTGTCCTCCTACGGCGTATCTGGTCGCGCCCTTCATTGGGTGACTGCCTTCTTTGACGGTAGAGAACAGTGTGTACGGGTAGGCCGGGGCCTATTGTTTAGACAGTCTGTCCTCATTGGCATGTCGCAAGGCTCGGTCCTTAGACCGCTGTTGTTCTCTATCTATGTGAATGACCTACCCGCGGAGCTTGAGGTACCATCGCTGCTATTTGCTGATGACCTAAAGCTGTGGAACATTGTCGATGTTCCTGGGGTTTCTGAAGCTATTCAGCGAGCCTTGGATAAGCTTTGGGACTGGTCTACTTTATGGTTACTGCCCATAAATCAGGCAAAGTGCTCCGTTCTTCGAATTGGAGGAGGTTGTCCTCCTACGAAGTACTTGGTCGTTGGGATCGAAGCCCCCCCCCATATATCTAGCCAGGTTGACCTAGGCGTCGTACACTCTTTGGCTTTACACTCCGGCGACAACTGAAAGAAGGCCGCAAGCAGAGGTTTCCGCATTTTTTGCTTAATACGACGTTCTTTCGGAGTCTTGACGGGCAGCATCTTTACGAAACTGTTCTCGGCTTTCGTTCGGTCTCATCTGGAATACTGCGTCCAGGCTTGTCCGCCCTGCCTCATCCGGGACAAACTGGAGCTAAATAAGGTTTTACCGGTGGGTACTAGGTTAATTCAGGGATTACGGGGACGGACGTACCCCGAGCGTCTACTTAATTTGGGAATGCATTCAATGCACTACCGAAGGCTTAGAGGAGACCTAATCCTAACCTACCGTATCTTAACTGGGGAGGTTGGTCCAGATTTATCTTGACTATTTAGTCCCGCTAGATTGTCTGTTCTACGCGGTCATTCCTTGAAGCTGGACAAACCGCAGTCCGATTGGATTAGGGCGGAAATCCGGCTGTCACGCCGAGTCATCGAGCGCTGGAACAAGCTTCCGGAAAGTGTTATCAGGAAATCTACGGTTAAGGGGTTTGAGCGGCAAGTTGACGCTCTTGGGTGGCAACACGAAACCTTTCCATTTTCCTGAGTAACTCGCATCTTCGTACTTCGATTTTCTTTTCTTCATGCATTGGTATTATTTTCTTATTTCAACCGAACTTCCCTATTCTGTATATTAGATTTCTCTTCCTATCCTTTGCTTACTTCACGTGACTACCACTGCAAGGACTGCTATGGCAGGAAACGCGGGTATTAATTGGTTAGCTAGGGTGTGTTGCGGGTATTCCATTTTAGATCTATCAATAACTCTTATCACCTCATAAATTCCTGGCTCAACGATCCACTCAAGTCGGAACACACGGGATTCTCCTATCGTTTGTCCCACTTGAACTTGAGCTAGGATCTTTGCCTTCTCTAGGTTGAAGTGCTGGTCTTCTTGTTCTTCATGCATGGAAACCAGTGAATTTTGATCGTCTCCGTATGGCCGTTTAGTGTTCCTTGGTCCGTGATGAAAGTTTCCTTGCAGTTTCTCCGAAATAGTATTTACCACATCCTTTGCAGTATATCTCATAGGTGACATTGTTCTGACTTCTTTGTTTGATTATCTTTCGGTTTCGAGTGTTATCCTGTCAAAGAATCATTTCGTTTGTTGACTGCCAAGATTCCATGTGGTCGTAGCAATTTTGTTGCTACCTGCTGTTATGTATCGGAATCGATTCAGGTCTGGTCAGATCTTTAGGGACGAAACGCCTTCGCCTAACTAGTGTCCCGTTTCTTGTGCCGGTAAGCAAGCCAAGGCCCCCGACACTTCGACGTTCAATCTTTACTACTGCAGAGACAAAAATGAGTAAGAATAACGTTTCAAAACTTCATGAAACCATTCGTGACACCCTATTGGTACTGTATGAAATTTCCAATCTCAGTGCAGTTCCGGAAACAAAGTGTGTCAATTCATATCTAGGCCTCTTTTAATTGCTTCTATAGTATTACATTCCACTAGAGCAGGGGGAAGTGAATTACAACTACGTACTACGCGCTTAGGGAAAAATTTCGCTCAGGTATCCAGTCTGTACATGCGTCATGAACTTCAGGTGGTGTCCCCTCAGGTGGTCCGACGTAGCTAGAGATCTGTCGGCTAAATGCTACTGAGACTCTTCTTAATCTTAAACGTTTCTATCAGGTCTCCCCTTAGTCTGCGTCGTTTCAATGAGTACAAGCCTAAACGATCCAGGCAATCAACGTACGACTTCTCACGCTGGCCTTCAATCATCCTGGTGGCCAGTTTTTGTACCTTCTCGTAGCAAGCTACATCCTTTCGAAAGTAAGGTGCCCAAGCTTGAACACAATACTCTAAATGCGGCCGAACCACCGCTTTGTACAATGGGAGAAAGACCTCAGGTTTAGTATTACACAATGCTCTCCTGAGACGAAAAAGTTCCTGTCGCGCTCTGTTTGCAGCATATTGTCACTGCTCTGAAGGCCTGAAGCTATCTACCATAACGATGCCCAAGTCCTTCACCTTATCTATACGCGGCAATGTCAGAGACCCTGTGGATGTCTGCACCGTAATCTCGACGTTACTGGATGATAACAGCTGACATTTGTTCGTGTTCCGTGACAAGTTTCATGGTTCAGACCACTTTACCACAGTGCCCAGGTCTTTAAACAATGTGTCCCTATTTTCCCAACGGATAAGCTTTACATCATCCGCAAAAACATAATAGGGGTTCTCGAGTAGTGGGGTTAGCTCATTTATAAACATGAGAAACAACCTTCCTAGCACTGAACTCTGGGGGACTCCGCTATGAGCAGTACCCATGCTAGATCTGGCTTCACCAATTCTGACACTGAACTTTCTGCCACAGAGGAAATCCGACAACCAAGTCATCAGCTGGGGATGCAGACAATCACTAAAGTCACACGTTTCGCAACGGCTGTAGAAGCCCAAGTCAAAAGGCCAGACTTTCATGCCGGAAGTATAATTCCGGGACAAACCGACGATTAACAGCCTCCCACCTGGCAGAAGTGTTGACTGGATGATCAAAAGTGCAACGGCTGCAAAGGAGAGACAGATCGATGATGTAACTGTTGCGAACGAAGCAATCAGCGGAAATGGCATTACAGAACAAGTTTCCCAGAGTGAAGATCAACGTCCTCAGCGAAAACAAGATGTGCATTGTTTACACTTTTGATAAAAGTCTGGAAAATGAGTCACTCAAGGTAGATAAGCCTCCACAACACCTCAGCTAAAGACTGGCTATTTGTAGCTCTGCACATTGGGTTCAACTGTAGCGGCTTTACTGGACGTCCGACTTCATCTGTCCATCGACTAAGGTGAAGGTTGACATCTACTTTTTCTTCCGATGGAGTTGGATTTGTAGTACTCACGGATGGTGTAGCAAGTAGTATGTCTAGCGGAATTGGTCGGTGACTGATATCCTGCACTGAGTTCGCGTACCTTAGGCGTAACTGATTGCGGTGCCAACTCCACATTTCATCATCTACCAATACATCGTAAAATACTCGTTTTCGGTGTGATGTAACAACGGCTTCACCTTATTCATTGTGCCCGCGTCTGTATCCCGAGGGTATACAGGTGTTCCAACTACGAAGCCACGATGCGCTTTACTTTGCGGAACGCGGAGGTGTTTCGCTCCTCGGGATGAGGGCATCGTGCACTGTACGCAGTCTGCGGCCCATAAAAGCTTCGGCTGGCGAACAACCATCGGTCGTCGCTAATTTTGGAGTAGTTCGATACACAATCAATCAAGTATCTCCTTGGTAGTCTCCACCCCACATGACTTCAGGAGCGCTTGCTTGAAGATATAGACTAGAGACTCAGCTTGACTATTCGATTAAGGATGATAGTGCAGGGCCCGTATGTGTTGGATGTTCCTACGTAAACAGAAATCCGCAACTCGGATTGAAGTGAATTAGCATCCAGTGTCCGTAACAATCACGTCTGGCAGACCGTGATGGCTGAAGATGTTTCGAAGTGCGAAAATTGTGCTAGTTGAGGTCGCTGAACTGAGCGCTACCACTTCTGGCCACTTGGAATAGGCGTGGACGATGATGAAGTGCGACACTCCGTCGATTGGGCCAGCAAAGTCCAGGTGAAGGCGGGACCATGGATCTCGAGGTGCTTGCCACGGAATTGGCTCTTGCCTGGCGGATAGTTTGGCGACTTGCTGACACTTGGAGCACACACGGACCAGTTACTTTATGTCTTCATCCATACCGGACCAATAGACGTAACCACGTGCAATGGTCTTCATCCTGCTGATGCCCGGATGACCAGAGTGAAACTGACTGAGAACAGCTGGTCGGAGAGAGGCTGGTACCACCACTTGGTCGGCGAACATAAGACAAGAATCAACAACGGACAGTGGTTCGTGACGACAGAAAAGCTGATGCAATTCACCCGAGAGTTTTTCCTTAGGCCAGGGCGTCCGAGTAAAAGAAATGACATGTTGAAGGACCGGATCGTGCGGGGTTGCGTGTTGAATGTCGGCAGCGACAACTGGAATCGCACGGACGGCCTCTGAGTTGTCGACAGACCGACGAATGTAGCCGCAATCACTACGTCATCTTCGGGT